ACAAACTTCCAATTTTAAAGATCTCAAGTACTGAGGACTTCTCACTTGAGTTGTATTTTGTTTTTGACAAATGAATAATTTTATTATTTTATCTAGAAGACAAAACTAAAGCAATACTCATGTTTCTTTGTGATTACTATATAATTTGCAATAAAACATGAGTGAAGATAGGAAGTAAGATAATATTTTGAGGATTATGGTATTTGAATCATTCAGTTTTTTCTTTGTATAATTTAGAATCGCTTTTATGTAGGTAAAGATAAGTCACATGATGGTTTGAAAAACGTGTTGTTTTCTCTCTTCTTTGCAAATAAAACAGGTGAAATTAGTGAACATTAGAAATGATGACATAACAGATGGAAACCCCAAATTGACTTTGGGATTAATATGGACAATAATTTTGCACTTTCAGGTAAGCTCAGTTTTTCTTGATTGTCATTTCTTTTAGCTTCTTATTGCTAGTTTTCAGATAGTTCACCTCAAAAGTGAATTACACATGCATATACTATGGGAGGAAATAAATTTACGGTTCTTTTCTTATAACAATATATTTGCTATTCCTTTCAAGTAGCTACTCGTGAGCCCGGTACCCCATTTCCTGTTGTTGCCACCCTTGACCGTTGTTAGAGCAGCACTCGTAATCTCCGAGTTGGAAGACAAGATTCTTTTTAACTGGGTACAAACACATTTTTTTTTTTGTTTATTGGAAGTATTACCTGGCTTAGATATATGAAAATTTTATTACTCAATTCTTAATTTGGAATGGTTTCCCGACTATGCAAACTATTTTCTTTTGTTGATAGACACTAGATGGCAGTATAAACATGATAAAGAGGTCTGAATTAGTATTCTTGTTTTCGTATGGAACTACACTTTTTCAAACAAGAGTTTAGGAGAGTAAATGCAAATAAATAAAAATTGATCAGCTATGAATTATTATTTAATAATTCTTGTGCCAATTGAGGGTTGCTTTCGTAAAATTATACATTTTGACAAAATCATCTTCACTCAAATGCAGTCCTAATTTGGGGACTTGCTGTAGTTCAGTGGGGCACTCACACCGTGTTCCGTGTGCAGCAGAGTCTGACCCACGGCAGGCGCTCGACACCCCTCACTGACTGACTGCCATGCGGCTGGACTGTGAAAGGGGGAGAGATAGATAGCTTGCCAGCTTCAGAAAGGATCTGGGATTTTAAACCAGATTCTGAGAAAAGTTAGATTTATTTTTTCTTTTGAAAAACTTGATCAAGAGCCCTGGCCAAGTGGCTAACTAAATTGGTTGGAGTGTTGTCCCATTCACCAAAAGGTGGTGGGTTCGATCCCTGGTTGGGGCGTGGACAGGAGGCAGCTAGTTGATGTTTTTTGTTTGTTTGTTTTTTTCTCTATCTCTCTTTGGGTGAGGATTTAAAAAAACAACTGACCGGGGTATAGGATTTGTAGGAGAATGGTGGAAAATAATGTACCTGGGGCTCATTGGGGAATAGGAAAAACATGACAGGGATAGAGAGTTAGAGGAATTAGAGTCTCGGCAAGTTCCAGGTTTTGAACGGGCAGCTGAGCAAACATGCAGCAACCAGAAAGCAGAGGGGCAGACTCGGGTGCCCGGAGACCCAGGTAACCAGGTGCCAGGCCCCCAGACTACAGGGCGGCTAATACAGGTGAATATCCACTCAGCTGGGCATTATGTCAGGGAAATCCAGAAATAGGAACCGGCAGGACCCTCAAGGCCTGTGGGTTTACGTTTTTAGAGCACCCCATCTTGACGGGACCCAGAGCACTGAGCACCCAACCAAGACTGGGATTTGGGCATGGAGCCAGACCTTGTTGCCAGAATTGGGAAAAGACTGAGTAGAACTTGCCAGAAGCTGATTTCACATGGAGTTCCTCAGCCACTTTCTCAGGGATTCATTAATTAGCCCTAAGTGGTTCACGCCCCTCAACTTTTAGTAGGGTTGAAACTGCAAGAAGCCCGCTTTGGGGGGTTAGAGGCCTATTGGGACAGGGAGCCAAATCATATCGCTACCGTCAGAACTGGTAAGACAGGCTGTGTCTGGGTTTTGAATTTCAGAGTAAGAAGCCCCGTGGGGCAGAGGGAAACCCCTCAGGTTTTGGAGGGAGGCAGAGCTGCATTTCATTGCCAGCTCTTTTATGTACGGCTGTGCCGGCACTGAATGAGCCATTTAATCACCCTGCACCTGAAAAGTGGTGTTTTAGGAAACTCCATGTCCATTCTGTGTAAAATAATTAAAACGAGCAGAATCCACAGTCAGGGAGATAATCTAAGAAGTTGAGGTGGAGATCTCTGGGTAAAGTGATAAAGGCCAAGGCTCAGGTGGGGATGAACAATTGAATCCAAGAGATGACATTTTGAAGAAAGGGACTTAGTGAATAGAAGATGAAGGAGAAGGAATAAAGGTGATGACTCTAAACTTTCAGCCTGGGAGGTAAAAACCAAGCAAGCAACCAACCAACCAAGAAAGAACAGAAAATAACATTCAATATTAAGTCTTAGAAGAGAGGAAGTCAAGACAGGTAAACTTGGGAGTTACCAGTATACAAGTGGCCGTTGAATCTGTCAGAGACAAGGTATCTTTAGAGGATCTAAGAGATGCATGTACATGGAGAAGGGCCTAGAGCAGAGGACAGCACTTTTGGGGAGGGCTCATGATTAGGGGTGCAGGAGGAAGAAGATCCATTTGGGGAAAGAGAAGAAGCATGTTTGGTGAGATGGGTGAAATGACAAGGATGTGTAGTATTGATGAAATCAAGGGAAGAGAATTTCAGGTGGAAAGGCGTAGTGAGCAGTATGAAACGGTACTAGCGAGCAGGAGAAATTTAAGACTGAGTGCACAGGGTAAGAATTTGTATACAAGGAAGGCATCAGAGACCAAGGAGAAAATACTCCCAATTTCCTGGGAGCAGAAACCAGAAAATACAACAGACCAAAATAAGAGTAAATGATTGTGAATTAGAAGTAGTATGTTTAGACCTTAAGTGTGAGAAAACTTAAGTGAGATGTCATTCAGAAAAAGAATAATGTATTAAGAAAGCCCTTTGGGGTTCAGGTGTCTTTGGGGAAGAGAGGAGGACCCGCCACAGAAGAACCAGAAGAAGTTTTGATTCTAATATAATCCTGTGGCCTCTCTTAGGACCACTGTGTTTTAGCACCTGAATTAGAAGATAATGACTGTTGCATTATCAACAATATTTAAATATTAGACCAAGAGCTATTTAAATGAAACACATCAATGTTTCTGTAAAACAGAAATGTTCCTTATTTAGATGCAATGACTTGTTTTAGTACTTTGATAATTTAATATTAGAACAATTTTACTGGTTATGCCAAGCTACAAGGCTGTTTATAGTAGTGGTAGTCATTCTCATTCAAAGTGACTGGGCTTTTTTTCCTTTCTTTCTTTCTCTCTATACTTTACATAAGTAAGGGAAGTAATGTCAGAAGACCAGCTTATTTATTTTAAACTATCTGTTATGAGCATCACACATTGAACCTATTTTCTAGTCAGGCTGGTGGAAGGTAAGCAGTATCAACCCACCACTCCTGTACCATTAGCTACCATATGCTAGATCCAGAGATACTAAAATAATGAAATATGTAGTTCTGTCTATTGGGAGAATGTTCATAAAACTGAGTATAGTCTAGGGGAGTAAATTTATTGCAATATAAATACAAATAGGGATGTAGAGGAAGGAGTGTTGCAGTAGGATTAGGAAGGTCTTAAGGGAAATTTTCACTGATGTTACGGATTGGCTCTGCAAGGTGATGGCCAGCTACCAGGCACGGAGCAAAGCTGGGCCGTTTCTGAGACAGGGAGTGCTGTGCAATGGTCTGAGCCTGGACAGCTGGTCGGTGTGGCAGGGTGGGGGGCGGGGCAGGTGATGCACAAATCACTGGCTGCGCCTCCATCGTGTTGGTGCAGATGCCAGCTGTTCTGCTTGTAAATTCTCTTGGAAAATGTTTAATTGCCATTGAAGACACTGAAAATCAAATAAAAATGAACAACAACAGAAAAAACAAATCAGAGGCTTCGGTTTTGGCAGCTTGTCTTCTAGGATATTCACTTTTTGCCATGGAAGTTTGTTTAATTTTCTCTTTAAATGACTAAGGAAAAGCTCACCATGTAGGCTTACTAATGACAAATATCGACAACATTGCTAACCTGACTCTTTAATTATGTTTGTATTTAGAAAAACCTCACGAGTTTCATCTTTTGATCAGTCCAAGCACTATGTAGAAAAAAGCAATTAGCAATTTATTTTTATTAGATGATTTCTGCTTACGTGTAGGTCCAGCCATGCCCTACTGATTTCCTTTCTGCCGAGCTATGACTCAGTGTTGGAAATATGCACACTTAGATAATCAGCTTCCATGCTGGCTCATTATTTTTATAGCAAGGTCCTAGAAAAACTATGTAATATTTAACTAAGGTACAATTGTAAAAGTTACATGTAAAGTTTAACTGCCCTAATTCATGTAAGAGAACACGCAAGTGTTTCTTTTGGCCAAGTGTTCCATGCTTTAAATCATAAAATTTATCAATTTGCTTACACGAATATCCTAATGAGCACATAATGGAAATGGCTAGGAAAAACATTTCAAACAATTTGAAAAATAGGTTTTAGAAACAATTTTAATAGAATATTTTAGGCATTATGCATTTATTATATCTTCTTCAGCTGTTAAGTTGTGCTGTTACTTTTTTTATGGCTGTTTTGAATACAACTTCTAATGTACTTTACAGAGATTTTTGAGTTTTCTTTTCAACTGCCAAAATTAGTTGGTGTTTCTTAAGGAAAAAAGTTAAATGGTAGAGACTGTCTGAAATGAAATTCGAAAGGCACTTTGAAACGGAATGTGAAAGGCACTTTGGTAAATGTCTCCTCTCTGGCATTTGCTTTCTGTTTGCACTCAGATGTGTTGAATCACAAACAGTTTCAAAGGTTAACACAAACTTGGGTAGCGTAGCTGCACTTCAGAAAAGTGAACGTTACAGTGGGGGTTGGAACCTCCTTGTATAACAAAGCTGAGCATGTGCCTTGCGAGCTCATCAGTGCTGCAGTTTGACAGTGAGCAGTGATGTTTGTCTAAGAGGATTGGTGGCCAGAAATAAGTCACACTGTCTAATGAGACACAGGGACACAGCCGGGCAAGATGCCATGGCATTTCTTGCGTGTGCCTTTCTCATAAGCAAAATGGCCTCGTGCTGAAGAGGATGGTCACACAGTCTGAGGAATTACAGGTCAGAGTGGAATTTTCGGGTTTAATGGAGATCTAAGTAAGCTCTAGATTTGGAAATGAGTGAATCTGTGGAACTGTGATCTCCTGCAAATCCAATGGGGAATGTCTGTGGATGTGTAAAAGCTGAGAAAGAAGAACAGTATTTAGATCCTGCCAAAACTCCTTGGAGCCCTGAAAAATATTCTCCCGGAAGAAAATATTTCAGAAGAAAACCAATCAAGAAAATTGTAAATGACACAGAGCCAGGAGAGCCAAACAATGAAAATGAAGGAAAGAAGAAGAGCAGCATTCAGCTCTCTAGAGAACAGCCGGTTCTTTTGTCCAGGGGACTGGCACAGGGAGAATCTGCTGCCCCAGACCTCACATTGGAAGATGGTATTCGGCAAAAGAAGGCAGAAGTGGTAGCTGACGGCGTTAAGCAGAAACTTTTGCCGAGTGCTGTGAGTAGTTGGCCTTACGGTGTGAACATTTCCCCTGCTGAAGGCAGTGAAACAGAAATAAAAGTTAGTGAGCTGGACGAAGGGATTTCAGAAAAAGACAGCACTCCATATTGTGCAAAGAGGAAGAAGCATGTAGATGATGTCAACACAAGAGAAGTAACATTCCAGTGCAAAACTGATGTTTTTTCTTTACGAAACGCAGCCAGCGTCAGTTCCACTGACTGTGGTACAGAGAGAGCACTTGAAAAAAGTGAGTTCTCTGAAGACCCATCAAAAACTTTTAGCAGTGGTCAGGAAAAACAAAACACTGAGAGATTTTGTCCTCATGAAATACACCATTTTCAGCTTGGAAAAGAGAGATGTCATTCCCTCTGTACTAACGTGCCCTCTACTTCCAGGGACACTAATGAAAATGAGGTAAGTGAGATGTGACACCTGAGTTTAAGGTGTCAGTATGTTCTCCAGGTGCTCACATCTGACTGCGGTTCTGCCAATTTTTTTTAAGTTATTTTCGTATTAGTTTATGTGAAAGCTGTAGAGTTCTTGGTGCATTTACTTTGTAGCTGTAGGTTTGATTTTTATGATTTTATTTCTTGTGACATCACTTTCTTTAATCACACTTTAACTTCAAAAGCCCATACATTTTTGTTATTGTTGGACTACCTCTTTAAGAGAATGTGCATCTTTTAAAATTTCTTTAGTTCATATTTCTTCACTTTTCCAATGGAGTAGCCTTTGGAAACTTAGCAATACTGTAGGCAAAAATTAAATCAGAAAGTGGTCATGATGAGACAATAGCTTCATGACAAATGCAGGGAGGATAGAATCCAGTGATTAGTAGAGACTTGCTGATCGGTGAGTTTGAAAAGCTGAAGTCTAGTTCTCTATCAGTTTTTGTGTATAGAAACACTCATATATTGCTTTCAAGTCTCCACGTGTGTGTATGTTGGGGGCGAGGGGCGCAGATAAAATTGCCCTGATCTATTCTGTGTCTTTGTTATGAGTTATTCCCTGATCCCAGTCTAAAATCAGAATCATTTGGGCAGCATGTCCTAGGAATTTGAATATGACACAGACTGCCAGGATGTTGAGATCTTTATTCCTAACACTAATCTTTAGCTTTAGACACGTTACTTCCCTAGAGTTTTTAGTTTTCTTTAAAATGTAAGTGAGTATGTTTTACTTGCCTGAGAAGTACATTACCCAAGCAACCTCCTCTACCTATTACTAGTGGGATTCAATGGCTTTTTTAAAAAGCTATTTCTACCTTTGTCTTTTAGCACACATTCTGGACGTGAGTGGTACATGTGATGTTAAATGCTCTTGGCCAGGTCGTTGCATCATGGGGTAGAGGTCAATTGCATGGTGACAGGATGAGGCTTTTATTAAGGCTAGTGTACACGATCATCATTGGCCTTAGCCTCGGGTTCTCCTGAGCTGTTCCTGTTTATATATACACCGCCACACCTTGCCAATATTATGTCATCAACTCTATTTACATTTTACAGTGTCTGCGTTTTACAAAGAAAGCATTCAGGCTATGTTATTATCTGTGTAGGTCCAGCATAAAGGTCAGTGCGAGAGGAAGCGACTTGGCTGCCACGTGTTTATGAATGGAACCACTTGGTTTGCTCACATATGTTTTCCAACTGTTTTTTTTTTTTGCATAATTTGGAGTCAAGTAAGGCTTACATATTTTCATTAATGGAAACTCTTAAAATCTGTTTCCTCATGGTACATAAGCCCCTTTTCTCTTCTAATTGTGTATCTAATAATTTTTGAAACTTCAGTGAAAAATATGTGTGAAAAGAGTCATCAACCTGCCATTCAAATTTGTGAAATAATCATGATATGGATGTACTTAACAAAGTCTCACACATTTTTGGTAAAAGGTGAGCAGGGCAGTTTTTATTTGCCTGAGGAGTTTGATGTCCATTCCTCTGTAGTCCAGATAAAGACTGTGTATTTGGTGCTGCACAGAGTCAGAACCAACAGCTTAGCTACTGCTCATAGGACATCCTTCCTGTTGCTTTGGAGGTGTTTGACTCGGTTTGCTTCATTACCTTCCTTTTGAACTTTGCACAGAACTCTTTATTTTGCATTGGAGTTTACATGCTTTCTTGGAGAATTAGGTGCAGATGAGAGCCTTTAGCCCTTGATTAGTATTACATCCCAGAAATGGGCTGTGGCCCCTATTCTTTGTACTTAGTCCTTCAAGAATGTTTTCAGATCCTTTCTATTTGATCCATTCTTACTCTGAGACATTGGTATGCGGGATTGAGCTTTATGACTTTTGAGTTTGCTTCCAAGTAAAGTAGAATGCAAGTCTTTGAACTTTTCTTAACCTCACCGATCCTGTGAAATTTGTCTGTCTTCGTATAGGCGACCAGCCTGTGTCGTCTTTAAATCACCTTGGTTGCAGTCACATGCTGACCTAGAGTGGCCTTCCAGGTTTAGGAGTTCTGTGGCGGGGGCTCAGCCAGACCCTCCTTCAGTGCCTAAATGGTAGAAACTCACAGCATACCTTCACTAGGATAAGGAGGTATACATGTAAAAAATGAAAGAAACACCTTAGATTTGTACATTGCTTTAGAATTGAAAAAATGCTTTTGGACACGTGCTTTTGGATCCTCATTACAACTGCTTGAAATAGGCAAAATGTTCAGTTTTTCTTTTATAGAATGAAGCAATAAAAACTCAGAGAGGTTAAAGAATGTCCTTAAAGCAACAAGTGACATTAGCTGGATTAAACTGTGTCACCACACCCCACTTTGATGAATTGTCAAAGTTCTGAAAGGGACTGATGTGAGTCAGAGCAGGGGTGGGTGTTTATAGGAACACATATCCATCTATGAAGGGTGAGTGTTACAAACAGAGGTGGCAAAGGTGGGCCCTGTTTGGGGCAGGGAGCAATGAGCTCACTGTCCATCCCTTCTCAGCGCCCCTTTATTTGTCTAGACTCATGTGCTTCCTGTACCTTCTGACAGTCTCCAATCTTTGCATGAGAGCTTTTCCCACAAAGCACTCTTTTTTCTTTAGTTTTACAAATCTCACCTCATCCCAGTCTTTAGATTGATTTCAGCATAAATGGTTGTTTCCTCTGTTTATAGGCCATTGGTTCTGTAACTGACCACATGTATGCTGTGAGTTTCTACCATTTAGACACTGAAGGAGGGTCTGGCTGAGCCCCCACCACAGAACTCCTGTAACTGTCACCTAAGGAACTTTAAAAAATATAGATGCCTGTTGTCACTCCAGTGATGATAATGTCATAGAGCAGGTGGGGCTCCGAGAGTGATTCTCACGGTCATGGCTATCGATAGGGAGCTTGTGACCCTTATCATCCTGTAGCAGTGCTTCTCAAAGTGTGACCCCAGGGTCCTTGCAGTAGAATCACCTGGGACATATGTGAAAACACCTTACCCTAGATTTAAATTGATCGGAATACCTTCTAGTGGGGCCTGAGAGAGCACTGCTTATGTTTCAGGCACCCTCCCACATGTTTCTTAAAAACACTAATTTTGAGAACCAGCATCACTCGAGCTTAGCATGTGCCAGCCTTTTCTTCTTAAAGTGGGTTTTCTGATAAGCAGTGTGGATTATGGGCTGGAAGGCAGGAGGTGTGAGTTCTAGTCAAGCTTTGCCTCCAGAGAGCTATGTGACTTGGACAATCTCCATTTCTCTAGGTCTTTGGTTTATGTTCTAGAAAGAAAGGATATTGGACTAGACCATGATACTACTCTTAATAATAATGGGATTTGTCGAGTCCTACTGTATATCAGACACTCTACCATTCTGTTATTTAATCTTCAGAGCGAGCCAAGGAAATGGTTCTATTATTAGCTCCATTTTACAGAGGAGTCAACCAGTAAGTGGAAGAGCTTAGATTTCACCCCAAAGTATCTACTAAACTGAACATTTAACTGATGCAGTTCTCCCACATATAGTCAGTTTTAAATTTCTATGAATCCATGTATTTATATGCATAGCTTTTTGATTATTTTGTGTTCTCACTTCCTCCTCCATCCCTCCCCTTTTTAATGTCTCTACCAAATATTTATTATTTACTTGTTATATATTGAACCAAAAGTTGCTACTCGGGGAGAAATAAAATATAGTCCTTTCTGCATGCATTATACCCCATTGTTTGTTCATAACAAATGACCAGGGACCATGGCTGTAAACGGAGTCACCTGAAAGTTAAGCTTCTAAGATGATGATCATGAGTGATTTTAACACTTCCCCTGCGCTATACTGTGTAGCTGTCATGAAAACTGAACTATCCTTGTACTCCTTTCATCCTTTGGTGAATTGACAATGAATAGCAGATACCTAAGTAGGAAAGAAGCAGAGAAGGAGTATGGACATTGTACTAATTATGTTATCAGTGTCCGAATAATTAAGAGTTGAATATGTTTATTAATTGACTTTCACATTATAAGCACTTAAAAATTGAGAATGTCTCAACACGTGAGAATACATTAATCTTCAAGTTCACTGAAATATAACATTTATTCAATTTTTTCTTTTTTAAAAAATATTTTATTTATTTATTTATTTATTTTTACAGAGAGGGGAAGGGAGAGAGAAGAGAGGGAGGGAGAAGAGAGAGTGAAACATCAACGTGTGGTTTCCCCTCACGTGGCTCCCACTGGGGACCTGGCCTGCAACCCAAGCCTGTGCCCTGACTGGGAATCAAACTAGCAACCCTTTGATTCTCAGCCCATGTTTAACTCACTGAGCTACACCAGCCAGAGCCAATTTTATTTTCTTTAACAAAGTCTTTCATGAAGGTTAGGCTACAGAATCTTAGAATGCAAGGACTATGATAAAATCTAAATGTTGCACCTTTCATATGGTACAGTTCCTCTACAGATCTTGAAAACAAAGGTCATTTGACTTACAGTTGACTAACTCATTTCTTTTCAAATATTCCATCTTTTTAAATGAAAATTTTTTTTACTATTTTTAGTCATTTGGACTTTAGTTGGTAAAAAATTTAGTTATAAAATAATTACATGGATTTTGGGTCTCTGTCAGTATTATAATGCCTCTGTCTTTTCAGTTAAATGAAGCATACAGAAGTTTAGAATCCTTTGCTGTACAAGACTAATTATGTCTATGGATAGTTCTCCCCATATATGAATAAGAAATAAATGAGCATTTGCCAAAGGCAGCTATCAGTTTAGGGCATTAGCCCTTGAAGCCTATCAACCTTTTACTTTTATCCTCTATTTAACTCTTCCTTTTAGGGAGGCAAACCTTAAGCAAATACAATTTAAAAAACATTTTTGCCATATTTATGGTAAAAAATATTTTGTGGGGCATTTTCACAGATTTCTTAAACTTGGAAACAGACACTAAAAATATGTTGATTACATTTGTTTCTGCCAAAATAGTTCAAACATCTTTGAAGA